AAATACAAATTCATATAAGATACTATTTAGTGGTTTTTTGGCCTCAAAATGAAAGATAGCTTATAGTTTCTTTAAGCTATGCAATTTCATTACATTCCTTTTTAACTTGTAAATCATGTAAGTCAATATTTGTTGCGCGAGTTTAAATTATATCTAAATATATTTGTATTTGAATTCAGCAAAGATAATCTTACAAAGCATACAAGCAGTTGGCAAAGGAATGCAAACAGTTTGCCAATTTTCTGTATACGTATTTGTAAAAACTATTTAATAACGTAACTCGCTTCTTTATCTTGTTACCTTTGTACTATACTCTAGAGTACTTTCTTTTAAATGTTCCCACTGCTGGAACTTGTGTTCAAAGATATGTTGCCATCCCTATAATTTTCTTTGAGAAAATTGGAAACCGCATGTTTCTGTTTATTCTGGAAGCTCGCGTTAAAAAATATATTGGTATTTAACATGGTATCAAAGACACAAGTCGATTGTAACTGTTGCCCATTTTTTTTCTTTTTAATTCTATAAAATTTCCAATGTGCAATTCTAGCTTAAAATTGTAAAAAAAGTAATAATCCATAATATTGTAGAGTTAACATTTAATATTAATCTAATTATTTGAAAACGATATCCGGTCTAAAATACATTTATATGAGCTGTCAAAGCTCTAGATAACATATCCTATCCCCTATCGGGAAGCGACAAATAGGGGTCCGGGTGTAGAGTGATGCTATAAATCGTCCGAAACGATAACACGTATATTATAGAATGCTCGACACTAGCGTGCGAAAAGAACCATTTAGATAAACTTTATATACTAGTACTTAGGCCTTCTCATGAATTTTATACGCCAACACTTGAAGTACGAGTATTAAGCAACAATACCAGTTGTCGCCCGCTACCCCGTCTGCGCGGAAATAAAAAACTTAATAAGTAGCCTATGTGTTCTTCCAGACTGTTCTACATCTGTACCATCAAAAGCCGTTAAGCCATTTGGAAGATACCTTCTGATAAATTCCATCCATCTAAAGTTACGCATTTATAATATTAGTAGAAGTAATGCAGTGGTTTAGGATTGCATAAGCAACAAATATAAAAACGTTAATTTTTAATAATATTTTGTATAAATTTTCCTTACATTTATGAGGAAATTACAGCCAAAAACAAATATTAACTGGAAACTCAGTTAGTAAAGATTTAGTTTTGGAGTGCCAAGCACGTGCCGAAACTAGCTATTTCCACAAAAACAAATGTTATTCCGAGTACTGTTCCTATAAAATGGAGTTCAGTAAACAGTAAACAACCAATTTGTCAACGTTTTATAAATGAAAACGACAAATCTTAACGTTTAGACGTATTTCCAATTTTCGTTTAATTATATTGCAATAATGTATTTCATTTGCAATTATATTTTTAACCGACTTCAAAAGGAGGAGGTTCTATAGTTTTTTTATATTTTTTTCTTAATTCAAGTCGAGAATTTATTAATATAGAGTAATTATATTTTACGAATGTTTATCTCCGTGCATGTGACCCCTTGTTGGGTTAACCGTTTTGACCAAGGTTTGGTCGCCATTTGACAGGTGTTCTTCCCCTGAGTGAGTATTAGGGTACAATCAGTCGGATTTTATAAATATTTTGCTTGTATTTCTATTATTTATATTTAATACTAATATTTACTATTTTTCGGTTATTTTCAACAATTTTCGTAGTTATTTTAGCAATGCCAACTCACTATGAATTTTAAATTCGAATAAATATTATAGAAAAGAATAGTTCATAAATGTCGTCGTGTAGAAATTAATAAAATAATATGAGGCAATGAATAAGAAATAATTTAATAGCAAAAGATTTAATAACGTGTACATACAAGGTGACGTGGGTTTCCACATGACAGACAAGTTTTCCAACTCATTGAGCCATCGATAATTGCACATAAATAACATCTCATTCTGTTTGATAAAGGCTATGCCACACAACACGATATTCGGTATATTTTTATCAAATTATTTTCAATTACATAAAGAGTTTAATATAATTATTATAATTTACTGTAAATTATATGCTACGTAATTAAGTATTTGCATTTTTAACTTTTTAACATTTTTAAATATTTAGTAACAACAAACATCCACATAAACATTCGCATTTATAATATTAGTAAGATTTCAAAATTAATCAAGTTTAAAATCCTGTTGGAATTCATTCGGAATGAAATTTAACACCGCCTATTACAAAAGTTGACGTCCAAAATGTAATTTTCTAGTCGCGGAAAACAGATTATCGCGTTTCAAATCAGTTACTGAGTGGATTGCGACGCGGCGGGGTTTAGAGGGAGGGTGGTTTGAAACCTAATGCAATTTCAAATACGTCAATATTAGATAACAAGGATTGACTGGGTACTTAAAAGCATTGATTTTGTGTCAGACAAGACTGAGCCTGAATGATATAATCATGCAATGTCCTTGTTTCATAATTGAAGATGTTTACAAGGTAAGATTCTGACTGCCGATACATGTGTTCAAATTCATATTACTTACATCAATATCTTTGATGAATATTGATTATGTCTTTGTACCTAATAGTGAGCCGTCTTACAAAAGAACTGCCACACTTAAGAACTGTTAATTGATAATTAAGGGAAACTTGACATAAATACTAGATAGTTGTTAAATTGTGTAGCAGTTTGAGATCTTACTCATTAATATTTTCATGAAAGCAATTCTAGCGAACAAACCTAACCAAAGGAATGTAATATGTTCAAGTCCCTTGAGAACTAAGAGTATACCTTGCTTAATTTAATATGTTAGTAATACATCTTTCAAGAACATAATACGTTCAAGCATAGAGCGAAAATTTAATGGTAATTCAAACAAAAGTAGAATATTTATAGTTCATTTATATTATATAACTAGATGTCGCCCGCAACTCTGTCCTGCAGATTTAATAACGGAACTTTGTTTTTTTTTTATTAAAAAAAATCAAAAGCTATCGTTTTCTCGCACAAAGGATGAAGCGACGTTTCGACTAAATTCAGCTTGTAACATGTAAATGAGCGAAACACAATAGGGAAAGAACGAAGCCCTCGCAGAATATTAGCACCAGCACAAAATTATGTATGCTAAAGACTGGTATGCTATTCTTACATTCTATATTGGTACACAAAGAATAATATGGAAAGTTACGTCATAATGCATCTAAAATGAAATATTCTTTTCAATTTTTTTACCAACGCGAAATTCTAGTTCCAGCTAGAAATATTTAAATATGTATAATCTCAGAAATATTGGCAATGCTACATGTTTTCTTTGTAAATGCAACTTTCATAACATTCATTTTGATTGTAGTGTTCCAGTTGCTTCGCCATATATGGTCAGTACAGCAAAAAATAATATCATATATTTACCATAAAACATAAGTCTCTTTGTGTACGTAAATCTAGCTTTCATGAAGTAAAAAAAAAAATTGACTTTGTAATTTTTCTTAATTATTACTGATATAAATGCGAATATACAGACGGATGGATGGATGTGTTTGTTTGTTTGAAGTTATCTCCGGAAGGCTGCATGGATGCCGCTGAAATTTGAAACAAATGTAGGACATAGGAAAAATACGTAGGCTTATTAATCCGCGCGGACGGAATCGCGGGCGAAAGCTAGTAAAGTATATTTTCTGTCGTTTATGTTGTGACTAACGAAAACGTATGAGCAAATGTGACGTTATACGCGACTGCTGGGTGCAGAACAACAGGAAGTTTGCATTATTTGTAATGGATGTGTAATTTCAAGAGAAAGGAAGTAAATCATACGAGCTTTCCTCGTGCAAGCATAACGTTTCGCATTACTCACCATTAAGGACTATTATGGAGAAATCTCTTGTAACATTGCCGTAATGTATCATATTCTGTAAACTACCATGTAGATAAAAACGGAAAATTAAAGGCCGTTTGAAAAAAAAACAGATTAAATATTTGATATAAATAATATATGATTTATTTTAGAAAATATCTACCGAAAACATCCGTCAAGAGTAGTGAACACATTAACTTATGCCTTCAGCCTAATGCCCTACGTTTCCGGAGGCCTTTTTCGTTTGTGCCTCATTTTTATGCTCCGAACGCTCTGTCTAGACGTAGAGGTCTATGATCTATGCATAAACATATACATATATCTATTCTTGTAAAACGTTTTTTCAAATCAAGAAAAATAGTAGGAAAACAAATGTTCACCTATTAAATTTAAACGAAACACCTTTATATTGGATAGAAGGGTATAAAACGTGCAATCCAATCTGCCGTGCTGCCTAATAGCCTGTCATTGTTAGTAATTAGGTGGTTGAATGAGCCCCGGTTGCCGTTCCGTCGCCTGATTAAACCGCTTCCATTTTATTCCTAAAAGAACCTAAACATTACGATTTCATATACGAAAAAAACATTTAAAAAAAAAAGATAAAGTTTTTCTTGAAAACGTATTGTTTAGCAAAAAGGTTGGGGTTTTATACTGTTCGTTCACACTTATTTGTTTGGGAAAGGTTAAAAAATTACTTTGACGCGTGTGCAGATTAACAAACTGTGTGCAGTTATTTGCAAAACTCGGTTCATTAATATAGAATGGGATATATTTTTATGAAAAGACATTGTCATCTAACCTCTTACTTCTTTAGACTTGCGCAAGAAATAAAAAAGTTTTAGTTGATAAATTGCTTTCTATATTCTATAGGACAAAAAGAGGTATGAAGAGGAGATAAAAACTATGTTTTGGAGCTGGTTACTAATCGTAAGAAACGAAGAAGTTTTATGTCTCTACTTTTTCCATGCAATTTATGACGTCCGCGTATGTTTTGGATAACTTCGCTCATTTGTGTAATTATCGCTGTTGATTAGCATTAGTACATAGTATATTATACTTTCTAAGGTATTAATACATAGTTTATATCTCATGTATCGAACAATACAGGGTTAACAACCCGTCAAATTTGGTTGACTTGCTGTAAAAATCACTTACCTGCTTGCTCTTTATAATGCTCCTTCCAGCTTTCACAGGATCGTCACTTGTCAATATTTAAATAAATGTAATACAAATCAAACTTCGTAATAGCACTTGCAATGTTACTCCCGTATTATCACAAATCACTACCAATACTAAGTGATCATAGAATAGATAGCACTAAAACTTTTCGAAAGTAATTAACTTTTTATATTTAAATTGAACGACAGAACTTAATAATGCAAATCTACTATAGGCAGGCAGTACTCTAACCCGCGTGACAGATTTTGAGTTTTTAAAATACCCTCATATCCAAAAAAATAAAATTAATTATGCCGAATCAAAGTTTACGTACACTGTGGAAATATGGACAGATAATGTAAATATCCTGCATTATATATTCGACGAATTTTTTTAGTGAAAATTATCATTATATTTACTTAACATATAGGATAATGGTCTAATCACAAAATTAAGCAATCAGCAAATTAAGCTGTATTCAAAATACTGTTACGAGCTAAAATAATGGCTCGAAGTATCTCGCACAAATTTACTCTCATTGTGAAACTCCCCAAAGACCCAATTTCAGCTCACCGATAAACAATAGTGTCGTTGATTTTCCTTTTAACCTCTTTACATATTCACGCCCCCCTCGTAGTTATTAAAAAAATAGAGACAGTTTTCGTGCATCTGTTTCGGCAGTGAAAACTCACGAAAATATGGATAAAAAATTAATCATTCTTATTCTTTCACAATTGCTAATAAAGTTTCGCCAATTTGTACACTGATTCAAATTGCGAAAAAGGCAAGCGGTTCATTGTTGGGGCGATCTTTTTTAATTTTACTTTTTTAATAATGCTCTGTCTTTCCGTACCAGGTACCGCTTTAAGGAGCTTTTTAAATGGCAGTATCTACTTTTTTTACCAATTAAGACTCAAAACACCGAACTGGTGTCATTATTGTTGTATGGAAAAATTCCTAATTACTTTGTCTCAATAAAAAAGAAAATTAAAATTGTTAAGGCAACATATTGTTCATACAGATAAGGGTACGAAATATATACATTTATAATTCAAACAAACGTACGTAGCTATTATTATAATAGTCGACAGTACACTCGGAAACCTAATAAACGTTAATGTTGGGTCCAAGGGTCGCCTATCGTCGGAATATATTACTGTTATCGTCCAAACAACTTTAGCGTTACTATGGTACGATGATAATATAGAGCATCGGTGGCTCAGGGGTTTGAGCACATGACTTGTGATCTGCGTTCGAATCCCGCCAAGTACCAATGTGTTTTTCGATTTACATATGTACATTTATCCGACGTCCTAATGGTGAAAGAAAACATCGTGATGCAACCTGCACAAGAAATTCAAAGATATGTGTGAAGTCAACCAACTCACACTTGGCCAGCGTGGTTGACTATGGCCTAGTGACCCCTAATTTAGGGTAGGCTCCGAGCTCCTCAGTGGGGACATATAGTGAGCTAATGATGTATGATAAAGCAACTTGAATAATATAAACTCACTTGCCTAGCTATCCCTCTTGGTGGTGAGGTTAGGATTGTTAATTAGTCTCTTCTACTTAACACTGTCCTCAACTGTTTTTGAATATAGTCTATGTTTCCTAAATTTGCAAAAATCTGTCAACTAAGACTCTTACATTCAAAATAAGAGACATGTAAGTTATTATGAAAATTATGTAAAATATTAATAAGTGCTAACGGGTGTATAAGGTAAAGATAACCAACCATATCATAGCTAACAATATTTCTATATCTATATGTAAATACATTTCTAGAACCTTAAGTAGAACCTTTATCATTTAATCTCACAAATATATGATTTGCACAGCATGTGTTATGATAACCTAAATTTTTAGTATGTAATGAAGACTTACTAAAGTTTATAAACATAAAGGACATAAATAAGATGAAAAAACAATTAACTAAAAATTATTTTATTAATAAATATCTTTAGGTGGTGGTCTACCAAATAATAGTTTCCATGAAACAGGTTGTTTTAACTGTGAGAAGAAATCTGTGTCTTGACTAAATAATGGCAATATTTTATTTAAATGATAAACCATATCATATGCATCTGGGCAATTATCACCTTCAGAACAAAATTTATAAAGTATGAAACATGGCAGTGACTTCTCTTTACATATTTCAAAAAACATTGTTGCAAAACCACCACCAAATATCTTCAGTCTCCCTTCGTCTTGATCGTGTTTAGTCCATTTCAGCTCATTTACTTCATTATCATAAGGATTAGATTCTGTGCAGATGTAGCGAAATAGGGAGGTACTAATATGTTTTTTTTCATGGGCATAACTACTTGTTAAAAGTACGATATTCTGCACATTTTTCTCTTTAAATGTTTGCACTATATTCTCTAGAAATGACTGTGCAAATTTGTAAACCAAAGGTGCCCTTATCTGTAAGACAACAACTTTTCTTGAATCGCAGACGTACACTTCACAAGAACTTGACAAGCTCTTCGATTTTAAGTCATATGGATCATATCCTAGAACTGGTATAAGCGCCGGACTGTACACTGTAGCGATTTTCTTCATCTTCAAAGAGGAAATAAGCAAGTCACAAGCAAGTTGGCCAACATTACCCACGGCTACGCTGGGGATTATTAAACTATATCCCGATAAGTCGCTTTCATCGTTAAACTTCCAATGGTGAATTGGGCTCATTTTTTATGATTTTGTAAATGGTTAACTTTATAATATTTACAACAAAAACAAACCGGAATGAGATGCCGTTTTGATAGTCACTTGACATTGACAGATAGACATTTAATTTAAAAGGGGTTTATGGCCTGGCTGTTAGACGTTTAAGCCAACAAACAGTAAGACAAATGATGACAGTGTTGACAGATTCACACAATATAAAAAGGCATCGTAAATAGTAAACTTATCTCTAAACGTAATCTCAATTGATTTTGTTTCTCCTGTTGTTAAGACCATTTCAAAACACTTACTAATTTTATTAATCACCAAAATACCCATATAGGAAGTGGGTTTTGTCCAAAGAGTATATAAAATACTTTTTGTCCGTAACATTAATTAGGAAGTTTAATTTTTAATGTACATAATACATAGATGGCGCTCGACCTCATGTCAAACTTTGTCTTTTTCTTTCTTGTTCTTGTTGGCTTTAATCATATCATACGTTCGGTGTTAGTTTCTCTTTAAATTCTGTGAAGTTGTTAATTATACTTCGGTAATAATACGAAGAAGTTACTTTATTTAGGTTCTTCTGATTATGACCGAAAAAGAAACTGTTGACCCGCAACTTCAAGACTTCATTTTAGCTGAAACGCAGAAACAACGTTTCCAGGTTAATACCATTTTTAAGTTTTAAAAAACACATGAGGATTGATAATACAGTGTAATTCTACCGCTTTGCACTTTGGGTTACAGCCATCGCCCAATAAATCTTTTTTTGTTCGTTTTGATTCTCTTTGACCTTTGCCCGTTTTGAAGCTTGTTTGTATCCTTTGCGAGTTAATAATCGACTTAAATAGGAATATAAATTATAACAATAGCTAATTATATGCTAATTTATTAAACTTCCGATGATGCTATTTCAAACAACATAAAACTAGCAGTGTTAGTTAATTATTTTCATAGATAGTTAATATCAGATTTGTACAATTTCTTTAAGTTTCCAAATATTAAATTCACATTATTTGCTTTATGGTTTATGTACACTTGTGTTATGTATGAAAATTTACATTATAAAAGAATGTTAAAATATAGTTGAGTCGTTAATTTTCTGCATTGATTCCAATTTTTAATCAAATTTAGAAAAGTAAGGGTTATAGAGAATTTAAAAGAAGCCAAAATACAGTAGTATCTGTATTTTATGACTCTGTACATATAGACCAACCTCTTATTATGAAGCTACACAATGATATTGGAGACTGTTATTTCAATATAAGGAAAAATCAAAACATTCCTGATTTCTTTTGTAAAAAATTATACATATGTATTTAAAAAACCATTGTACTTCCAGTCCTTTTGTGATGTTGATACTAATTGCCTAAACAAAGCAAAATACTCTTAATATGAATTCCGAACTCATTCAAGTTAATAGAATAACAGGAAAATATATAACATGACATATTTTTCCTTGATATTAATACAATATTTCAACTAAGGTTTCATAACTATTCATTTGAAACAAGTCAAAAATTTGCTAAGAAACTCTAGATGTTAAAACAGTTAATTTAATATAAATGAAAAATATAATCAAGAATATTTTTAACTTTTCAGGTGCTGGTGCATGGTTTGACAGACACTTGCTGGGAGACATGTATGGGACGGCCATCCACCCGTCTCGATTCAAAAACTGAAACATGCATCATGAACTGCGTTGAACGATTTATTGATGCAACTACTTTCATAACTAGACGTCTCATGAACACTACCAAGTATCGGTCTGAAGCACCTCTTGAATTCCAGTAATATTAAAATACATATAATACAAAATGTTTTCTACTGTCAGAAACTTTTTGCACCGTCACAGACGGAAGTTCTTTGTGACAGGTGCCGTTTTTGGTACATTGTACTTACTAATGAGCTATGCCCAGAAGAAGCTAAGAGAATGGCAGGAGAAAGAAGCCAAAAAATTCTTTGAAATGACACGGAAGAAACAACACTTTGAAAGTACTGAACGTACATGCAATCAGACTATTCTTTCTCTATCAAAGATTGTGTCTGAAAGTATTTTAGGTATATTAAATACTGAAGAAATTGTACAAAAACTGAAGGATAATCCCGAAAATAAACTTTTGTTATGGGAGCAGATGAAAGTTATGATATTCACTAGGATTTGTGTTTTGGTATATGCTTTATCCATACTTCAAGTAACTTTGAGAGTTCAATTGAACATTGTTGGTGGATATTTGTACCGTGACTCAATAGATGAGCAGGGACCTCAAATTAGCAGTGAGTTACAAGCTAAGTATCTGTCTTTATGCCACCATTTTGTAGGGCAGGGAGTAGAAGACTTAGTAAAACAAATAGAAAAGGCTGTTAAACGAGTTGTGGAGCCAATTTCATTGAAAAAGAAAATAACATTACAAGAAGTTGAGCAGATGTTCTGGTCGATACAAACAATATTATGTACTGATACAACCGACGGGGATCCTGTGAAAAAAATGGTTCACTATTTAGTTCAACATACAGAAATAACAGATGCCAAGTTGGATACACTTGTGAAAGAAACGATGGACGTTCTAGAAAGTGATGAGGTGACATCGGTAACAATGTCGTCTGTTACGAGATGCTTTTCAACTGTTGTTGATGAAGTTGCCAATTTATTTGTAGACAAATTTGTGCCAACAAACAAAAACCATTTAGAAATCGCAGAGGATCATGTGATAACTAATGGAGCATTAAAACTAGGTGCTGGAAGGGACTTTGTTGATGTTAACAAAGTTGAAATTCACTTTGTTAAATTACTACCAGCTATCAATGAGCTAATTACAAAAAATACAAGCAAGGGTAAATCTAACATTCCAGATATTTTAACTCAACAGTTAACCTTGAATGACAAAATGAAACTATTAGGTGCTAACATATATGAAGTGTTTAGCAATGAATAAATGTCTGTGACTTATAAAAAAACTAGTTGGGTAGCTTTGAACCTTAACAAAACTTCAGAGTGTTAATGCATCTCTAAAGTAACCAAAATTTATTGATCTATTTATTGTCACAAATATTAGAAAACTCTTTTCTTTGCCTGCGACATAGCCAGTTGGATCAAAAACAAACTGAACAAATCCGGATATGCGGACAGACATAGACAAAATTAAAAGAAAATAGTTTGTCATTAGATGTAACTCGAATATGTCATATTCGCGAAATATTATTTTTTTCAATATTAGATCCAGATGCTCCAATTTTATTACATACTTAATTGTATAGATATAATATGTTTTAAAATACATAATGACATTGATAAAACACAAAATTTGAAGAATTTCCATTTAAAGTTACCCAAGATGACTGTAATTTCTAGAATATAATATAAATTTGGGAAATGTGGCTTAGTTTTAAGTTTACTACAAGAATATACTATCGGTTGATTTTAGACGGAGCTCCACTATGTTATATGTTATTTTCACAATAATGAAACTGTTAGCCAGTGTATTTTTACTATGGTATGTAAATTATTTTGTGTGTCTTATTTCAGGGAAAGAAATAAATAGCAATGGTTATTATTATTTTTTTTGCCCTTACACAACAAACCTTGTAAATAGATTAATAGAAGATAAGTCAGTTGATTAACAAATAAGACTATCTAAGATTATAGAATTGAAATTATGATTAATGCACATACCATGTTACGAAATTATTAAAAATACAGGAATTTATATCTTATGAATATTATAAATGTAATTGTTTGGGTGGATGTTTGCAGCATCCCCAGAACGGCTTAAAGGAGTCCGATGACATTTTGCATGAATTTAAAATATAGTGTGTAAGAACACATAGGCTACATAAGTTTTGTTTTAATCCGTCGCGGGTGACAGCTCGTCCTAAAATTATAAATGCAAACTTTAGATGGAAGGAGGTTTATTTGAAGGTATCTCCAGAACTGCTGAACGGATCTCGATGAAAATTGGCATACAAATAGAACATAGTCTAGAAGCACAAACACATAGGCTACTAATTATTTTTTTTTAAATTCTGCGCGGCGACTGCTAGTAATTTTATAATTTGTGATTTGACTGTTTTTATTAAATTATTTCGTGGATACGTAGAATAACTGCTCTTTTTTTCGCAGGCGCTTGGAAGTTTTATAACATGAGTTTATGATTAGGATCAAAAAGGCGGAACTTTGATGAAGATAAATAACATATTTATAACTTAAAGGCAATATTAGAATTTATCTTACTTAAATCTATCGGCTTTTAAGTATCATTTTGAGTATTTATTTTTAATATTAAAAAATGAGATTATATTTAAAGATAAGATTAGACGGCTGCGTAAACTCAGAAGCGAACTTCCTTACCAACAAATTAATCTAAGATTAAGATACTGCACCTGCATGTGCTACCGAAAATAATGGTTCAATATCATTTGACATTCTTAAAAATTACTATATTTATACTAAAAAATTTTATGTTTTGTATATTTTTTTTTATATGAAATGTATTAAAAATATGGTAAATAAATGAATACGTTCAAATTATTTTACTTAAAATTACCTACATAACTACTATTCAGTGCTGACGAAGTCACATGCAAAATGTAGTGGTATAATATTGGGAAAATTCAAAGCTACTTGTGTAGTATAAAGTAAGCAATCTACATATTACATTTGTACCTCGCAAAAAGGTCACGAGTTGCAAAACTGCATGCCTTGCGAGCAAGCCTTCAATGTAATACCAAAGGTGATGCGTCGAGGCGGTCGAAATAATTACAATGTGCTATTACTATACAATCTACTTTCATTCATTAGCGTTATTTATAAAATAGAGATGAAATAGACAATTCATTTTCAATTGTAACAGTTCGTTTCTCACGCATTTAATAGGAAGTACAATAATAACAATGTAGGTAGATAGTTTATAAGAATCTAATCCGAAATATTAAATTAATCGTGGGTTTCTGAGACCAAAATTCCCGTTGAAAACATTATTGTTATCTCGGTTTTGTCAAAGATAAACACAACAGAGATGAAGACATATTTTATATAGAGATTCTGATCTCAAGAACCCACGGTAAAAAAGATAAACGTTTGTCAAAGTCGCAGAAATTTTGCCACAACTTAGTGCCATGTCACTCTTTAAAAAACATACATAATATGTATTTGGACAGATGTTTGGGCAGTGCAAACACATGCTTATGAATAACCTATATTGTATATTGGAATATAATACATAAATAATGTTTATTTATATTAAAGATATAGTGCAAATCGACCGACGGTTAAAATATAATGTTAAGTTAATGAAAATTATGCCGTGGGTTTTAAATAAAAAATGTAATAATATCAATTGTATAATACAATGCTAAAGGATATCAACATGATAGGCGAACAACCCATCGCCGTCTTAGCAGTTTTGTCGACGCTATTTTTAACATATAATAATGTTTTAAAATAACCATTGGTAAGGGCCATCCTCTAAACAAACTGACACAAGTGACATCGGCCTCTTCTACGTACCATCTTTCGACTACATCATCAGTAAATATTTGTTGGGATCGTGGTTAAGCACTGGCTGTTATAAAAAAGATCAGAATCCTGTAAACCTGTGAATCGTAAAAAATATTCTTTTCTTAATTTCTGACGTGTCTACATTTGTTATACAGTGAAAAGGAAATTAAATACGTGTAGCTACATACGTTTGACTAGTTTTTTGTTACAATGCTATCGTAAGTCTAGAACAAAAGCGGTTTACGTCCGACATGATTCAGGAGGCGTGACCAGCTTGCATTTTAATAAGTACTGTTTTTCCCTAACGTTATTATCTACTGGGAAACAAATGGTCTTTCACTCGAATTCTTACGGAAAATGTGACCGCAAGTTTAATTATATTATTTCAATTGTTCTAATGTTTCCAATTTCAAATTCGAACGAATTTTTGAACTTCGAATTTTAAATATGACATACGTTCATTTAAAGTACAAAACTTCGTAGGTCTGTTAATTTATTTCTATTTTTTTTTGTCTGAATTTAACGTTGAACGACAATATCAAGATAATTTACATAACAGGCTTTTTAATTTTCATGATTAAATATAAAACAAAAAACTAGCCATTCTGGTACAAATAATCTACTATATTTTGAATATCCTCCAACAGAGCCAATCATTCTGTCGCAATTGGAACGTCATGAATAAATATTTTGAAAAGTTTTAAACATATGAAAACATTGTCTTTTTCTCATAGAATAAGGAAGTTGTTCCTAGGTATATATGTTTTTCTATTTGTAAAATAAATGATGCTTCTCATGGGAACAAAACACTTACATACGTAAGTAAAACTGTTTATTTTTACAATGAAAAATTATTACGAAGATAAAAATTACCAACTTCTGTTTATAAAAGGCACCATAACCAATGCGATTATTATTGTAATCAACTCCATGCCGTACGGAATAGGGGTTAGAACTCTTCCAAATACTAAGCACCTATAAATTGAATACGCTTAAGCGCTTATCATTAAACGAATATCCTTATTGGATTATAAGATTATTTCCGGAAAGAAACATTATAGGGTTTGTCATATCGTTCAGCCACGCATAGCAGACAAACATTGATTTTTATTTGCATAGGTAGAAGATAACGAATGGATCTGTAGAATAATAAGAAACACAGGAGACGTAGTCTTGTAAATAAAGATTAATATTTCATATTTAAAGCTCGTAGCATACTATAGCCATTTCGAAGGTCATGTCAGGAGGTTAATCCTAAGAGAAAACGACGCAGCGATATACGCATGAATAGAGCTAGTACGATTTACGAAATGCAGTCGAACAAATAAATATATAATCAAAAAATATTAGTTGTGCACTAGCTTGCGAGTGCATAGAGCCTGCGTCACAGCCACCATCAGACGATCACGCAGTTAAACCGTCAATGCAGTGCAGACAGGGGGCATGCGCGAGCGGGCTGCGGGCAGGCGGCCGGTGCGCGCGCACTACTGCCGCCAATACTCCGCGACCCGCCATCGCTGGCGAGCGCGCGCCTACACCAGCTATCGACGCGTCCGTCAAAACGTATCGCGCACACCCGATCCCACGTCGTTCGTATATTATGACTTAAAAATCACCATACGTCCGCTTTAAGTGATAATTTATAAAAAGCTTTCTACTACGCCAATCAACGATTCAATACAAAGAAATAAGTGCTGAAGAATTAGTTTTCACGTAAGTATAATCGCGGTTTACATTTCCATATGTTTCGATTTCTTTGGGTGATGATTTATGTTTAATTTAATTCAATGTCGTCGTGATAATTTTTTGAGAAAAACAACCTTTTTTTCTATTTGTCCAACGAAACGACAAAAACATCTTCATGTATGTTTATTTGAACGCTATCTTATTTGATTTAGTTAACGTTTTAACAAAAATGTTTAATAGATAAAACAAAAGCAATCTTGTAAAGCATAATTTTATGATTTACGCAGAACTATTCTTGTTTACATTATAAAGTTAGAAACAAATTATTGTTATTCATTAATTATTAAAAAGTCAGTAGAGAAAATCGCGTGTTAATGGAAAACGTACCTATAACGAAATTGTTCACTATTTTTCACAATCTATTAATGTATGATATACATTTTGAAAGTAATTGTACAACATTTTACAATGTGATAATACATTTGAACGATATCCGAGCATTAGCCACATGTTTACAATCACCAAACGACATTGCCGGTCCGGTCCAGTCCACTGTTTATAATTTTCCAACAAAGCCGTCATCCACGGCTCGGATTCATCGACAGTTAAAACAATTGTCGTCGAAATTGAAATTCCGACACGCTTTGTGAAATACAATTTTATTTTTATATTTTTCAACGTTTCCATTAGTCTGCACCAATGGTGAATCAGTTAAATACTTTTTATTTCTTTTTTACGTTCAGCACGAGCCGGAACTTCGTCAGGTCAAAGTAGTACAAAAGTTTGACTATTACCGCATTCTCAAAGGTATTGCGGATCTATAATATGGTGCGGTTTGGTGCCTAATAATATAAGGTTCTTAACGGTACTTCGAGAATTGAATATTTTATACAATATAATAAGAATAACTAACGAAAATAGGCGACAGAATGTTACTAGAATTTAGAATGCCAAACAAAATGAAATGATGCAAGCTAGCTTTTATTGCGGTTCATAATATGGTGAGGTAATTCAATACAATAGTTAATTAGAGAGGTTATAGTCTAAATACATTATGTCGGAAGTCGTAGATATACAATAAAAAACATTAACGATCGATCATGTAACCACTACAAAACATTTCGCGCGAAAGCTTCAATTACGTTAAAAGTTACATAACTTAGTAAAGCCTCCTTCATAGATATGATAAAATATGTTTTATTCAACTGCAAGTATTAATAGGCATTAACAGTCAGATTTAAAAACAAAAAATACCGGAATAGAAGTCCGAAAAATTTGTGCATCTAACAGACACACTCAGAGTCGTGAGTCGTTTTGACTCTAGTGTCGACACTAAGGGTGATCCTATGTGTACATTCAGTAAAAGATATCTATACTAAGAGACTGATCTAACTATAAAACATCTAGATTTGCAAAGAGATTAGAATATAGGTGCAACAATAGTTATAGAACGGACGTTACGAGCACTTCCTTTTAAATATTTTAAGCATAATTACTAAAAGCAGGTCACATTTTTATGCAAATAATTTGGTTCGTTATGTTCAGTCTATTGATATATGTATCTATGCTTTTTTTGAAGAGCTACAAGTGATAATGCTAAATTGTTCTTTTGGATCCGAACTGGTATTGTTTATTGAGTTTCGAATCACCTTTTATATCTATTCAAACTATTAACTACGTACGTAATACAGCACTTTTATTCCAACAATTTATTTTATTTTTCCTCTTATCAAATTATTTTTTTAGTTCTTGAAATTATAGGTATGGTTATGGCAATCAGCTTAAAAGTCGATAATTGGGAACTTACGTTGTTAGTTACCTTTTATCGTGGGTAAATGCCTTTCGCATACCATCCTTGCGGGGGACAATGGTGGTTATGTCGGGCTTGCACCGACTAAAACCCACTGCGGTCGCCACGGATCTCCGTACGGAACACAACCGCCACCCTCCAACGCCTAACTAGATCTTTTGGGTCCAGCTCCATCGTACTCTTGGGTTAAACCACCTTCTCAGGGCCGCTTGAGCGTTAAGGACCCCACCCTGAAACGTTGTTAGTTACCTATATTATGAATATCAGGAAAATACATTATATAAAAAAGAACATTTTAATTAACTCGTCTTTCAGGTACGTAGCTTAAAAGTAATGATCGAATAACAACGTACGTTAATCGAAACAACTTACAATACAGCAAAAGTTATCATTTTAAAACGACTAAATAACAAAATATTAATTGAAGAGCTACAAATATATACGACTGTGTTTAAAAATTAATACAAACGCAGTTAGCGAATTCAAATTACTAAAATAATTTTAATTTCTACTTCAGTACTAAGTAATTTAGTTGGATTGTTAAGTTAGGTTATTCAAAGTTTAATAACCCTAGTTGTTAAATGTGCTAAATATTCAAATTGTTAACTGTCAGTGGTTTTTCTGAGTGGTGTTAATTCAAAGCAAAAAGCAGCAGTCTATTAAGCGATGTTTTTTTTTTAAGTAGAGCAAAGAAAAAGGGCAAAGGAATGTTACGGTGTTCGGTCTATTGCAAAAAGATACCATTGCTAATAAGTTTTGTTGGTGTCATAACATGTTACTAGTTAGTAAATACTATTTTTCTCGCTGCATCTCTAAAAGCGAGTCTTACTGGCATTTGCACATGCAGTAGCATTAACCATTTTATTTGTTCCAATTGATTGAAATAACAATATAAACGATATTAAAAAGACTCAATTTAAAATATTTGCTTGCAATCGCTGTAATAATTCTATCGTAGTATGTATATCTAAGAATTTTTTCCTTACTTATGTCTAGAAACATATTGTATGTCATTACAGGTAACTAATTTAGTATAGTAACCTTGTTGAACCACTGCATATTTGTAAATATCGATCGCAGAAACAAACAGCCAGTTTGTTTACGTAACGTGTTCCAACTTTGTAAATATTTTACATGTCCGTTTTCTAAGTTATCTAAAGCGCAACCAAATAGGCCCTAAGATACTCTGTTTCGTGTTATATCACGATATTTTTAATCTGCACATCCTGGGTTCGAATCCTGCTATTTACTGATGTGTTTATCGATTTACGATCTCTTACGGTAAAAAAACATCGTAAATGAACAAGATATGTGTGAAGTCAACCAACCCGTACTAGGCCAGCGTGGCTATGGCCTAGTCACCCCTAACTTAAGGTAGACCCAAGACCCTTAGTGAGGACGTATTGTGAGCTGATGATGACGATAATTACGACCTTTATTTGTGAAGCATATAATGAAGCATAGAATGAAAATGTAGGAGTGCGAGAGCTGCAAAATATACACAAAGACCGTAGTAAATTATAATCGGGTAGAGAATACCAGTATTCACACATTTTCTGTCATGTGCATGGTACAAATTTTTATATGCAAGCAATGCATCTACACATGAACATGCACTGACTTAACATAAACTTTAGCATAATGACGTCACTTAATGACCTTGACCACCGACTGATTTATATTTCTGACCGTAAACGACTACATAATAGTCGGTTGTTACCTTTCGAAGAAAAAGACCGTGAGCTAAAACGTGAGGTGAAATTTTGTATACAAAAATCCGATAATTTTGCGCGATTTACCTTCAGTAAAGTGTGTATCTAAAATGAAATGTAATTCTCCAAATTATATTGAACTGACTCCAAAGCTCTATACGTTGTAACTTTCTATTTATCTATTGAATTTGTACGACCTGTGAAATGTATGCCACATTACACGTCAGTACACTCCATTGCGACTAAGGGCCCTTCGATAAAATGTCACTCGCTAACTCACAAAGTAAAACATACAAAGCGTAACATTCATAAAACCAGGTCACCAGTCTTCCACTGAAAGTAGCAAGACACATTAACACTGCATTTACGAAAACATAAAATACTGCATATGATAGTTTCATAGACCATTAAGTCATTAATTTTAGAATTCATGATAATTTTGTGATTTTTTTTAATAATATTTATTGGAAAACAAATGAAACAATAACCAAATTTTCTACACAAATAATAAAGGAGAAAAGATTATTCATTTGTTTCCAATAAACTTAAAAAAACTACCAGATCCTTTTAGCCACTTTTGTAAGTCCTATGTCTAGATTTAAACGACGCTATTTAACATACACAAGATTTTTTTTGATAATTTATTTAAAAGTGTAAAACAAAATAAACTGACAGTTTGTTGGTGTAATAGAAAAGTTCCTGAACTGTATACTTAATCTAACGCCTTAAAATAAACGTTCCGATGAAAATGTAGAATAAAGGTTATAAAAATAACCAGATATAAAATCTCCTGAGCCACGGAGTCGGGCGAACGACAAAATGCTTTAAAGTTGACCGCGATTGATCCACTTTGATACTTTATTTTATAGATTGCGTAAAAAGTTTTAATACTTTTAAAAGTTATCGGAACAATTATTGAAATAATAAATTGATTATAATATATAATTCTAAGAAGTTCGATATCAATGAAATCTTTTCGACAACTAACTAACTAAAACTCACTTTATATCACGAAAAAATATATCTAACTTGTTCTATAAAATTGTATAATAAATATTGACAAAATTCACTTTAGCTTACAACTTTTACCACACATTCCACGTGACTCATTTTGCATTACATCTGAACGGAACAAACAAAAACATAAATATAGGTCCACGTAAACACATTCCGAAGCGCTGATATGAGATCTAATGACAGATCAAGTTAGTGATCGCTTTTGTTTTTGCTACACAATTACCAAAATAATCGGCTTGGTTTTATTGAATACATTGGTCTTTACTACTAGAAGTGTTTAATTTCAATACAGCACCGAAATTAAAAAAAAAGAGAGAAACGTCTTCATACAATTCGAATTATAAATCTTACCAACTAGATGGTTGAATACATTTTATATCTTTATATATATAATTCTTCTGTGCGTGTGTATGTCACTGAACTTCTCTCAAACGACTGGACCGATTTTGATGAAATTTTTTGTGTGTGTTCAAGGGGATCTGGGAATG